GTCATTGTGAGTGGGATTATACTGTGCTACAGAAATGTAAATACGTGCGTATGTGTGTGCGTGTACATTTGTACATTTGGATGTGTGCATTGATAAAATGATTGCATGGTCACCTGGTTTGTTGCTGAGTAACAACAACAGTGCAATGTTGCAGAGCATGCGATTAAAAGTCATCGCATGAAAAGCATAAAATGTACAAAAGTTACCAAAGCGACAATTGCAGTATACATATTTATGCTTATGTATATGTATGGATGTAAATACATATTTACAGCCATGGTCAGGAAGTCAGGCATGTAAAATTTCACGAATGTCTGTAATCAAATAGGGAGATGAGTGTGCAACATGACGGTGGTATTTACAAGGCTTTAGGGCGCTCATGTGAATGTATATTTGTATGTATATGTATTTGTTGGTACAAAAACAAAACTCAAATGGTAAAATACCCGCAGGAAAGTGAGCAGTTATTAAATACAATTTATTTTTATTTTTTTAATTCATCTCCTCAGCCTCTCAGGTTCGTCATTCTATTTTTATATTTATGTAGCTTCGTAGGAATCCTAAAAGTTCGAAGTCCTAAAGAGTCCCGAAAAAAGCTTCAAAGATTTCGAACAAATCGCTAGAGATTTTCAAAACTGCCGAGAAAAAACAAAAAACGAAAATCACTTGAAAATGTCGAAAGATTCGAAATTAATCGAAAAATTCGAAGCGGCTCCTAAAAAATATACAAAGAAAAATTTTACAGAGCCCGAATAACATCGAAAATAACTGAAAGAAAAAATCAATCAAAAAGTTAACAAACAAATTCTACCGAGATAAATGAGCCGAAAAAATGTTGAAATTCAGGAAAAAGTGATTTCAAACTATACCGAAAAAACCTCAGAAGCCACAAAAAACCGTTGAAAAAATGTTCAAACGACCACAACGAGTTCAAAAGTATTGTCAAAAGTGCCGAAAAAATCCCGAGAAGTTTCGAGAAGTTTCGAGAAAATCTCGAACGGTCAAAATAAAAAACTAATGGAAAATCCCAATCTTTTTTTTCTTAAATATACCAAAAAAAAAATACTTAAAATAATCCCGATTTTTAACTATTCTGTAAAATCAGGAAAAGCCCCGCACACAAATCAAAAATCCCATTAAATTCAGGACAAAAATACGAAAAACAATAATAAAAATCTCAAACTAACCCAAACAAATCTCGTAAGATTATACAAATTTCAGAAGTGGTGTGAAAAAGTTTTTTAAAAGCACAAAATGTCTAAAAAAAGACATTAAAAAAGGAGATTTCAAAAGAATTTAGTTAAAATGATTTCAAGCTGTGCCGAAATGTAAAAGTCGCTATACGATACGAGGAAGTCTTGGGGGGTTAAAAAAAAAACTGAAAAGAATGGAAACAAATTCTCAAAAATATTCAAATAATTACAAATATAATTTCGAAAGAAGCCAAACATTTTAAATGCTCAAAAAAAATGCTCAGAAACTGTAAAAAATCCGAACATTTTTAAAAAGTCCTCAAAAATATTTCGAAAGACCCGGAGAGTTACAGATATTTTAAATAAAATCCCGAAAATATCAAAAATCCATCGAAAACCTCAAAAAGTTCGAAAAAAATTTCGAAATGACATGAAATCGGTAATCGGCTTTTCTTGGTCTAAATATTTAGATCTGTAATAAAACTGAGGAGATTTAAATTCACGAGGAATTTATGTAACTATATATTCTATAAAGAGATACAATTTTTATGCAAAATTCGTAGAAGCGGTACTACATTGTTTCCGCTGACCTTTTGTTTTCAAAGCATAAAAATAAATTTCAATTTACAGTCTCTGATGTCGTCATCGTTATCATGCACCCTCCCAAACAAATCTTAAAAACGTAACGAGCGTTACAATGTAGACAACAGAGCTAAAACTTACTCAACCAAAGATATGTCAGAAGAAAAAAAAAAATATTGTTTAAACATTAACTTGCTCTGGTCGCCCTAAATTTGATACACCGACTGTTGTACAGCACAAAACTATCCGCTATGAAATAAAACATCACCAACACATCCATACATAGCATACGCACGACCCACCCGTACGTCGCCGCTAAATGAGCGCATTGGGATTAAACCCACGCTGCTCAGTTCACTGAAAATCATCAGCAGTAAATTTTTCGCAAAATTGCGGAAATGAAACGGCAAAACTCACAAATGAGCCGGTGTGTAAGTGTGTGTTTAATTTTTCAGTGTGTGTGTGTGTGCGAGGACTTAATGATAACCAACAAAAGTCTGTTCACCTACTCGCTTTTCTCGTTCCACCACGCCATGAACTGCCATTTCGAGGGTGCCTGACAGCAGTCTGACCTACTTTGCGCTATGACTATTAGATAGTGTGCGAAGAGGAGGGGCGGGAGCGAGGGAGCAAGGTAGCAGCGACACTGTGTCAGCCTTAGGATAAATGTATGTATGTAGATATGTTTGGGGCATGTTGCATGCCCTCAACCTCATGCAGTTAGTCATTTGGTTGCATGCACTTACCTGATACTTGAGCGTCTGTTTGTAGATTGGCTCCGCTGAGTGCCTCACCACGCGCGTCTTCTTCTTATGTCGCAGTCGGTCGCCATCCTTAACGTAGCATTTCACATATGTGTCCGGTGGTGTTTCACAATCCACTGGCACTATATTGCGTGCGCATATCACCTGCAATTGCGAAAGCAAAAATAAAAACAAAGGACAAGTAGAGGGAAGGACGGAGCGCGTCTACAAAGTGGACATAAATGAAAGGGTAATAAAATGCGGCGAAATGGCTGCTAATGGGCACACTGGGACCTTCCAGCATTATTGCCTGTAAATGTATGTATGCACATACATATGCGCTGACGGCTAGATAGCCTGTGTGTTGCATGTGGCATGTGGCTGCTCTTCGCAAGCGCTTAATTGGGCGTGCAACTGTGCGCAAATTTTCGTAAATTTTCGACGAGCTGCATGGCCATATACGAGTAAGCGCCGCAAGGGAGCTCGGTTGACTGCGTTTAAGCGCGTAATTTTAAACTTTAACAGCCATCTAGGCGCGCAGGCAACACATGCATACAAATATCCCTGCAGGCCTTTACTTCGCCTCGTCCATTGCCTCCCACATATTTCCAGCTGCATACTCACCTCAACCTCCACCACGCCCTTGATTTTCGCAAAGCCCATTTTCAGCTCGCCATGCCGCACGGTCGTCAAGCGATAGCCCTTCGGATGTATCTGCCCTGGACCCATTTTGAGTCCATAATCGGTATCGATGCCCGTTGTGGCGACCGTGGTCACAGTCGTGGACGTTAGACTGCCAATGCTGCCGGCGTGACTGNATCGGTGGTGTTCACGTTGTACATGCTGGGCTTGCGCATGGGCGACGCTTCAGCCTCGAGCGCACCAGCAGCAACACGACCGCCTGGATAAACGCTGCCCTTGCGCTGAAGCGAACCGCTGCTGCCGCTGACCATACTGCCCATACTACCAGTTTCACGCTCCGTATTTGTGTGTGCGTAAACGCTACCTTTACGCTGCAGCATGGGCGAGGCAGCGAGCGCATTATCGCCTGCGCCTGTCTTCAGATTTATCATGCTGCCTTTGCGCAATTGCTTGGGACTGTCGGCGCCTACACTCA